TGCCCAGGATTCTCTCACACTAAACTTCACAGACCAGCCTTTGGCACTGGTAGGCAAAAAGTTGCCTTTAATCCTTGCAAACATGGAAACCGCTTATCCCAGGATATTGGCATGGCAGAGGAATCCAATTGTCAGAAATGATGGCAGGGGAGAAGAAGTGGAATGAGGAAGGATTTGCAAACCAAAGCACAGGGGTAATGATGCAGGCCTGAAGTCCAGTGATTTCATATTTATTCTCTACACTGAAACTAGGAAGAAAAAAATTGAGTTTTAAGTCACACTACATTAATACAGCTTTTGATTAATATCTAGCAACTCAATCAAGTGCTCATGAAATGTCCTCACTCTCCTCATCCTCCCAATTAAACACTTTTTTATTTGGCTGAATCTTCATATTTTGTAGTATATTTTGGCTGAATCTTAACATTTGCAATTTGGGGAGGGGTTCATCTCACTGTTTCTGAGGGGCTTTTTGCCTGAATCTCGGTGGTTTAGGTTTTTCTGGGCTGAATCTTGGTGTTTTGGAGGTTTTTTTGGACACAGGATGCCCAGTGAGTTCTAGAGATGGACTTGGGCAGGAGGAACCCCCAAGCCAACGCACTCAGCCCTTGTTTCCCCTCCATCAGGATTTGTCCTTCCCAAAGCTTGGTCGGATGGAGGAGGCGTCTGTGAGGAAGAGGAAGATGCCTTGGGCCCCCCAGGCAGGTGAGGAGGAAGTCAGTGGCCCTTTGGGCGGGTGTTGTGCTGGCTCTGGCAGCCCAGCATGGCCCCCGGCTGCAGGACAACCCCGCTGCCACCGCCGTCCTGCCGAGGACAGAGTTGGGGGGATGTCCTTGGCCTTCCCTGTGGGCCGGAGGCAAATCCCCTCCCTGTCCTTCTTGCTTCCTGCCCCAGGCCCCGAGCTGAGGACGGAGAGCCCGGAGGACAAATCCCCCCGTCAGACCCTGGTGGGAGAGGCCGTTTTGAAGGGCTCCACGGCGCAGGAAGGCAGCGGGGAGAAAAAGGCCCAGAGATCCCCCTGCAGGAGGGGCTCCAAAGCCAGCCCAGGGTGCTCTGAGGAGGAGGAAAGACCCAGCCTGTGCCGGGAAGGCGGCCAGAGCTTGAGGCAGAGCTGTGACCTGGTGGTCCCTGAGCAGCCTCCCAGCAGGCAGAAGCCCTTCAAGTGCTTGGAATGTGGGAAGAGCTTCAGAAAGAGCACCCAACTCCTCACCCACCAGCACATTCACACTGGGGAGAGGCCCTACACATGTGGGGAATGTGGGAAGAGCTTCAGTGACAGCTCCACCCTCCGCAAACACCAGCGCATCCACACTGAGGAACGACCCTATGCATGTGAGGATTGTGGGAAGAGTTTCAGGGACAGCTCCACCCTCTGCAAACACCAACGCATCCACACTGGGGAACGGCCCTATGCATGTGGGGAATGTGGGAAGAGCTTCAGGCACAGCTCTGCCCTCCTCACCCACCAGCGAATCCACAGCAGGGAACGGCCCTACACTTGTAAGGAATGTGGGAAGAGCTTCAGACACAGCTCTGCCCTCCTCACCCACCAGCGCATTCACACTGGGGAACGGCCCTACACTTGTTGGGAATGTGGGAAGAGCTTCATTGACAACTCCAGGCTCCGCAGCCACCAGCACATGCACACTGGTGAACAGCCCTACACTTGTTGGGAATGTGGGAAGAGCTTCAGTCACAGCTCCAGCCTCTGCACCCACCAGCGCATCCACACTGGGGAACGGCCCTACAAGTGCTTGGAATGTGGGAAGAGGTTTCAGACCAGCTCCAATCTCCTCAGGCATGAGCGGACGCACACGGATGAGAGGCCCTTCCGCTGCACCGACTGCGGGAAGGGCTTCAACTGGAAATCCAACCTCGTCACCCACTGGCACATCCACACCGGGGAGAGGCCCTACAAATGTGGGGAATGTGGGAAGAGCTTCACCCAGCATGGTCACTTGACCAGACACCAACAGACCCACCAGTAAGAGAAGCCCTACCAGTGCCCCAACTGCGGGAAGAGCTGTGGCTGCTGCTTCCACCCCGAATGAAGCCCCTGATGGGGAGGGAACCCCTGGAGTCCAGTGACTGTCAGTCCATCCCTTTCTACCACAAAGGGCCAGTCCCCTTTCCCAGGGGCAGGTTCTTCCAAAAGGGCCCTTCTTGGGAGTGTGTGTGGAGATTCCTGCCTTGGCTGGGGACCCCCCAAGGTCACTGTTGGAGGTTGAGAGCAGAGATCTCCCCACCAGCCTCGGTCTCGGGGAGTTCCATCCATCTCTATTTAAGAATTATTGCTTTTGTGCCAGCTTCAAGACTTGCTTTAGTGTAGAGCACTGTCCTATCTTATGCTGTACTGCTGGTAGTTTTAGTGTTTCTTTTGTGCAGTAAATAATTCTCATGAAGATCTTTTGTCTGATCATTTGTATCCCTAAATAATTCATTTCTATCAATAGATCTGATTTACCATTATAAAAACCTTGGAAATGGAAGTGGTTAAGTCACAGGTCTGTATTCTTCTAAACTGAAACTGTTGACATAATGCAAGGCTGAGATTGGATCCAGCAGCCCCCGGCACCCCACAGTAAGCTGGGAGCTCAGGGGGGCCACCCCCCTTTGTCAACCCCCCTGTGCCCAAAGACCCCCATGGGACCATTGGACCTGCCAGACCACCCTCCCTTTTCCACCCTTCTCCCTGTTCCTCCCAGTTTTTCATGGTCTCCTGAAGCCACAGCTCCCCCTAGATTAGTTTAGGAGTCCCAACCCCCACTTTTTGCCCCCCTCTCTCACCACTTCCACATCATCCCC